GCGCTGGGGGGAGGGCTCCCAACACAGGCAGCAGAGAGGCTGTTCTGCTGCAATGTCACTGCTAACACTGCCATTGCAGACTGCCAGCACCTGCTGTTGCCGCGGAAGACAGAGGTCTCTCAGCTGGGCAGACCCCCAGGGTAGCTGGGCACAGGGTGAGGCTGGGAGGGAGAGAGCCTGATGGGCAGTACCATGGAGCCCCCAGGGGGTGCATACCTGCACTTAGGCGCTGTGACCTCGCCGGTGGGTACAGCCCGAATGCTGCAGTTGGCCTTTGGCTGTACCACTTTCAGTTTGGTTGCTCACCGAGGTGGTTTTGGGGGTGTCCAGGGCACTTTCTGCATGGCTGCTTGGGGCTTCTGTTTTGCCTTCTCAGTCCTGGTGGTAGCCTGTGAGTTCACAAGGCTCCACAGCTGCCTGCGCCTTTCCTGGGGCAATTTCACAGCAGCCTTTGCCATGTTGGCGACCCTCCTGTGTGCCACGGCCGCTGTCATCTACCCTCTGTACTTCACCCGTCTGGAGTGCCCACCTGAGCCTGCCGGATGCACGGTCCGAAACTTCCGCCTGGCAGCCAGCGTCTTCGCAGGACTCCTCTTCCTGGCCTATGCTGCTGAAGTGACCCTGACTCGGGCACGGCCAGGTCAGGTAGCCAGCTATATGGCTACAGTGTCTGGGCTCCTTAAGATCGTCCAGGCCTTTGTGGCCTGTATCATCTTTGGAGCACTTGTCCATGAGAGTCGCTACGGACGCTACGTGGCCACACAGTGGTGTGTGGCGGTCTACAGCCTGTGCTTCATGGCTACAGTGGCTGTGGTGGTCCTAAGTGTGATGGGACACACAGGGGGCCTGGGGTGCCCGTTTGACCGCCTAGTGGTAGTGTATACCTTCCTGGCTGTGCTCCTATACCTTAGTGCTGCAGTCATCTGGCCAGTCTTCTGTTTCGACCCCAAGTATGGGGAGCCAGGGCGACCCTCAGACTGCCTCCGCGGCAGCTGCCCCTGGGACAGCCAGTTGGTGGTAGCTATTTTCACCTATGTCAACCTACTCCTTTACATCGTTGACCTCGCTTATTCCCAGAGGATCCGCTTCGTGCCCACCTTGTAGCCTGGCCAGTGATGGCCCACCCATCTCCTCTCTCTGGCTGAGAGCACCTACAGCTGACCAAGGTGAACTAAGACATAGGGAAGGAAGAGGGAGGTTGGGGGCTCAGAGGATTCTGCTTTTGGACATCTAACACACTAACGGAGGCAAAGAGGAAGGACTGAGGGGCAGGAGGCCCTGAACAAGGAAGACAGTGACTCTCAGTCCTCTGGTCTCCCTGTTTCTCAGTTTCCTGGCCATCGTTGGACTTGGTAGCTAGTCGCCGTACCAAATGGGGACATTTTGGAGCGGATACTGTTGTAATTCATCGCGCAGATGGGAAAATTAAAGCTAAATGAACTTCAGAGGTGGGCCAGTGTCAGTGTCTTCAGGTAGCATTTAGCTGGGGTAATATAAGTTGGAAATCGGGCAACTTCCTGAGGTTGAAATGGGTGAAAAACAAGCCAAGAATACCAGGGCCAGGCTATTAGGAGGAGTGTTGGAGCTGGAGCATCCTCTTTGACAGAACCCACAGAAGAGTCTCTTTGGGGATGGTTGTGATCGTTTGTAGAGAAAGCTGGCAACTATCATGGCTCTCACCCATGTCTAAGCATATCCCAATGGCCACAGCCATTTGAAACAGAGACAAGACTGTGTTGTGGTTTCCAGGTAGCCCAATGTCAAAGGTCAGCACCAGAATCACTATAGAAAGAAGATGATCTCATGACAGCAATGGAGTATCTGTCCAGACACCTAACACAGACCACAACCAAAAAGCTTCTGCGGTGTCTACCATGGGTTCTGGCAGGCTGGCTTAGTTGGCAGCATTGACTCACAGTAAAGAGCCATCTTGGAGCATCCACTGGTTCATGGAGCCTGGTTACTGGGACTCCATTCAAACATCTAGTTAGCCAGCTGTTTTGAACACCAGGACTTGCTAGCCCCCAGTATTCTTCAGTCTCAAGCCAGCTTCTCCTATGCAAGAGCCCAGACTGGACTAGTCCTGGGATGGAGCCTTCAACCCATCAACTGACTATCCCTCAGGTCCTCCAGCAGAAAAATAAAAGTGGATGATTGTTTTCACCTGGCCTGCTACCTTTCCTGGCTACCCACATGAGGCTCACTGGAGTCATTTCTGTTCAGGGTTAGGATAAATTGCACCACTGAAGCTACCTTCTCACTACACGCTCTGAGAGAAGGCCTAAACCAAGCCATTGTGAGGGAGGGAGGATTTGTCCTTTGGGGCACTTTGAGTCCTAGAATACAGCCAAGGCTGGGCTTTGTCTGAGCCTTCTGACAAAGGGACAGGTTAGGGAGACTCAGAAGGCCAAATGCAAAGAAAGAGGGTCAATGTTGACTCATTCTCTTCTTTCTTCCAGGCACTCAAAGCTCTATACTGTGGTCTTCAGGGCCCAGACCACAGGCGGGGGGGGGGGGGGGGGGCTGCGGCACGGTCTGGGCAGTAGAATCGAGAACATTTAGACTTTAGGCTCTGAGCCTGGCCTTGTGTGGCCCTTGCTGGCCAGCTGGGAGAGGGTACACTGGATCAGGCAACAAACTGAGTTAGGGCCAGTGTCTTTTAATGGGATGGGCAGATATAGGCATCGTCTGGGTCTGCAGGTTTCCTGAGTGATTAAAGTGTTATGCATCGGAAGACCAGGATGTCAGGGATTATGTCAGCCATGTTCATCCTGCCTAGAGAGAGAGCCTGCTGCTTATTTAACATGTATGATATAGGTGTGATGGGGACACTGGAGTGCATGTGTGCAGGTCAGAAGACCACGCTGTACACTTAGTCTATGTATTCTGCCTTACATGGGTTTGGGAGAACCAACTCAATAAGGTTGTTAGGCTTTTGAAGCAAGCTATCTTCCCCACGAAGCCATGGCACCTGCCTTCTGTTTTCCCTTTTTCTTTTATTCTGCCTTGAGACAGGATTTCACAGCATAGTCCAAGCTAGCCCCTCCCACTGGACATCCTCTAGCTTTGATTTCCCTAGAAGTGGGATTACAGGTGTGTGATACCTCACCAAGTTTTGACTGTTTTTTTTTTAAAGATTTATTTATTTTAGGGGGCTGGAGAGATGGCTCAGTGGTTGGGAGCACTGACTGCTCTTCCAGAGGTCCTGAGTTCAAATCCCAGCAACCACATGGTGGCTCACAACCATCTGTAATGAGATTTGATGCCCTCTTCTGGTGTGTCTGAAGACAGCTACAGTGTGCTCATAAATAAAATAAATAATAAAAAAAAGATTTATTTATTTTAGCTGGGCAGTGGTGGCTCATGCCTTTAATCTCAGCACTTGGGAGGCAGAGGCAGGCAGATTTCTGAGTTCGAGGCCAGCCTGGTCTATAGAGTGAGTTCCAGGACAGCCAGGGCTACACAGAGAAATCCTGTCTTGAAAAACAAAAAAACAAAAAAAACAAACCAAAGCAAAAGATTTATTTATTTTATGTATCTGAGTACACTGTCACTGTTTTCAGATACACCAGAAGAGGGCATCAGATCTCATTATAGATGGTTGTGAGCCACCATATGGTTGCTGGGAATTGAACTCAGGACCTCTGGAAGAGCAGGCTGTGCTTTTAACCTCTGAGCCATTCCTCCAGCCCCCTTTTATTCTTTTACTAGCCAAAATTCTGAAATATATCATGCTAAGTCCTCAATGTTCTCACTGTTCAGTGGCTTTCTGTCCCCAGCATCACATCCAACCTAAATTTCAGAGGTCCTAGAGAAGGCAGAGGAGGAGAGGGCTAAGACTCAAGAGGAAAATGGAAGAAGGTTTCTGGAGCTCCCTAGATGACAGAACTGTCTTTCTTTGGTTTTAAGAATGTTGCTTATTATCACTTGGAGAAAGGCATATATATTTTTTTAAAAAATCAGTTTATGTGTATAACTGTTTTGCTTGCTTGTATGTATGCTCACCTGGTGACTGAGGAGCTCAGAGGAAGTGTCAGATCCCTAGAAAGGAATTCTGGATAATGTTAGCTGCCATATGGGTACTGGGAACAGAATCCAGGTCCTCTGCAAGAGTAACATGCTCTTTTTGTTTGTTTGTTTGTTTTTTGTTTTTTGAGACAGGGTTTCTCTTTATAGCCCGGGCTATCCTGGAACTCACTGTGTGGACCAGGCTGGCCTCAAACTCAGAAATTCGCCTGCCTCTGCCTCCCAAGTGCTGGAATTAAAGGCGTGCACCACCACTGCCCTGCGAGTAACATGCTCTTAAGCACTGAGAATTCTCTCTAATACTGGAAAGTATATGAAGTCCCACGGAGCAGTCTCCTAGTTTGAGTGGTGGTCATTATTACCGAGAAAGAGGGATGGAAATTCCTTTTCCGAATCTTGCAGGCTGGAAACTTCCTAGTGATTTTAAAATTACTTTTCTAAAGCAACCTGTCTTTATCTAAGGAGACAAAACGTGGGGAAAGCAAGCCACCTCTAAGGGAGTCGGGGAGTGAGGTGAGGTGGGAGGGTGAGGGAATGGGCACTGGAATCAAGTGTAATTTAGCAGAGTCTAGGGGAACTGAGACTGCTGCTCTACAGATCCAAGACCAGCAGATGTGCCTTGAACACCTCTAGAGGTTGCAGATATTCAGAGCACAATATCCCCAAAACCCGTGGTTGGAGAGCTGGGTACAGTAGGATGGAGGCGGTCTGGGAAGTAACAAGCCCGTGGCTGCAGAAGGTGCCTAGCTTTCAAAGAAACACTTGCAATAAAACAACAAATAACGGATGGGACTGGTGGCTTTTGTGGGTACTAATCTGTATTCGCAACTACTGCTCACTTCGGGGGGGCGGAGGGGGGGAGCAAGGAGGAGCGTCTGTCTCCAGCCCTGTGTATGACGCAATGCACAAGGCTCCAGTTGCAGCTCTGGATTGGCTAGCTCTCAAAGGCCGCACAGCTCATTGGCTGAGGTAGAGTGGGGGCGGGGCCGGTGGGCTCGGGTGCCGCGTGGCGGATGCAGGAGGCTGGGCTCTGTCGTGCTTGTGTGCCGGAGTAGCCGCGCTGTGGGTAGCGGGACTTGGGGCTCCGGGGATGGGACTCCTGGAATGAAGGCTTAGGGAATGGGGCTTCTGAGAAATAAGCTAGAGACGGACTAGGGACTTGGATGTTGAGGGTTCTCTGGATTCTGGACCCTCCCCTACAATCAGTCTTTTTCCTTATGGCTCCCTGAGCCCTTTGCAGAGGGCTCAGAACCTTCAGCTGCACACCAGGCATCCTGGCTCTGGGCGGCGGGTGGTGGTGGTGGTACGGGGTGTAGGGGTACCTGGGACAACTTCCCAGCCCGGCCAGCCGAGGAGCAACATAGAAATTAGGCAGACTGGGATGGGGGTTGGGGAGCACCTGGCTGGCGGGAGCGGCCAGACCGGGTACTCCCCACCCGACGTCTCGCTTTTCTATCCTGTCGGTACAGTTCTCTGCTGCCCTACAGAGCCGGCGTCAGCTGTGAAGGTTGTGGGTCCTGGACCTCCAAACATGAGCGTAGGGTTCATCGGGGCAGGGCAGCTAGCCTTTGCCCTAGCCAAGGGCTTCACAGCTGCAGGTAGTAGATTCCTCTGGTGCCAGGGAGGGTGTTAACATGGAGTGTCTGTGTCAGTGGCCTCAGTCCTTTGGGAAATGGCAGCTGCCATATGTTTGGGGCTGGTTCTCTGAAGGAGGTGAAGGGTGTGTCCTTCTTAGCAGTGTGGCAGAGAGGCTAGAACTAGCTTTGAGGGAGGAATTCTGTCCCCTACAGGTGTTCTGGCTGCTCACAAGATAATGGCCAGCTCTCCAGATATGGACCAAGCCACAGTCTCTGCCCTCCGGGTAGGTGCCTGGTAAAAGCAGATAGAAAGCCTGAATCTCTTTAGAGTTAGGGCGTAGGGTTTGGTGTGCAGCACACCTGACTGTGAGGGCAAAGTGTGGAGCCCCTACTCCAGCAGGAGAAGCAGACCTGCCATAGGAAACCTCCAGATGCTGCTCTCCTTCTCTGAATACAGTTGGTAAGAGAGGGTGCTAGTCTGGAACGGGGTTTCCCAGATAGGGGTTTTGGAGCCCTCTGGAAGGCCAGACAGCACAGAGATCAGATCAGAGTCGGCTGGGGTGATGATGAGTACAGTTTCTGTTTGGTATGGCTCAACCAGATTTTCAGGCTAAGGATGTGTGGGTGGGTGGGTGGGGGTGTAGCAGGCTCCCAGCTTGAGACCACCACCCACATTTGGAAGGCAGGCAATTGTAGAGACTGCAGCCATTGCAGCCTGAGGTGGGATGGGATGGGCTATGGTTTAGAAGTCTGTGATGTCCCTTTTCTACTTCAAAGGGGACACATTCCAGGGCACAGTGCCTTTCTCATTTCACCCAGCAGCCTCTGGGCCTCTCTACTCACAGAGCAATCAGCTTTGTGGGCCGATAGCCCATGAGGCAAGCCGAGTCTCCTTGCACCCCTGCAGAGGATAGGGGTAAACCTGACACCCCATAACAAAGAGACGGTGTGCCACAGTGATGTGCTCTTCCTGGCTGTGAAGCCCCACATCATCCCCTTCATCCTGGATGAAATCGGTGCTAACATCGAGGACAGGCACATTGTGGTGTCTTGTGCAGCAGGTGTCACCATCAACTCCATTGAAAAGGTGGGTGCCTTGGGCCAGAAGTGCTGCAGAGGGGGTGCAGCATGTGGTCAGGAACTCTGCTCTTGGTGTCCGGCTTCTGTACCTGTGCACAGGGTATAGCAGCCCAGCCCACAGCAAGAAGAAATGCTCAGTGGGGGAGGCAGCCCAGCCCACAGCAAGAACTCAGGAAATGTTCAGTGGAGGAAGCAGGTCCATACTCACTTCCATGCCCGGGATGAGGACAAACAGCCACCACCAGAGTGATAGAGCTGGTTTCTCTTCCTCTTCCAGAAGCTGATGGCGTTCCAACCTGCTCCCAAAGTCATCCGATGTATGACTAACACCCCGGTCGTGGTACGGGAGGGGGTTACTGTGTATGCCACAGGTACTCACGCCCAGGTGGAGGATGGCAAGCTTGTGGAGCAGCTCATGGGCAGCGTGGGCTTCTGCACAGAGGTGGAGGAAGATCTGATCGATGCTGTCACAGGGCTCAGTGGCAGCGGCCCTGCCTATGTGAGCACTGGAGCGATGGGTGGTCAGGGCTGTGGGCAGTTCCCAGGGCCTCTGTGTACCTCTCTCTGCTGCACCCTGCTCTGGGTCCCAGAGAGGAGGCTGAGGATGCAATCTCCCTGCAGGCCTTCACAGCCCTGGATGCTCTGGCAGATGGCGGTGTGAAAATGGGGCTTCCAAGACGCCTGGCAGTCCGCCTTGGGGCCCAGGCCCTCCTGGTCAGTGCTTTGAGATACTGGTGGGAGCTGTTTCTTATTAAACCCAAACTGGGGACAGTTGAGAGGGGAGTCAGCAGGTGCTTTGGTGGCTGAGGACTGTACTCTCTAGAAGCAGGTAGGTGCCCATGCTATCAGTCTCTTTTTCTTGTCACAGGGGGCAGCCAAGATGCTACTAGACTCAGAACAACATCCAGGCCAGCTCAAGGACAATGTCTGCTCTCCTGGCGGGGCCACCATCCATGCTTTGCATGTGCTGGAGAGTGGGGGCTTCCGCTCCCTGCTGATCAACGCTGTGGAAGCCTCCTGCATCCGTACACGGTAGGTTCTCCTGTCATCCACTTCTCAGCCACCCATGCCTGTATGCCAGAGCCCTGGCTTCAAAGGTTTCATGGCAGTTAATCCACTGAGCCCTGTCCTGGCCCCGAGCAGGACTTTGGAAGGTTCAAGTTTTCTGGGTCACAGTATGCAATGTCTCTAGCTCTTTTTCATTGTCCTGTGAGAAGCGTTATCTACATGTGTCCGTAGACACCCCTCTGGTCTTGCAATATAACCTTCATTCAGTTTCATCATCATAGCCAGGGAGCCAGGCTAGAAGGGTAGCTGGGGAACGTAGGAGGACTGGCCCAACACCTTCTTCATGACCTTTCCCAGGTTAAACAAGCTAGCTAAGCTGGCAGTTGTTAGCAGCAAGATAGCCTGGTAAGAGTGAATGAACGTGTCCAGGGTCCCTCCATTGTTGTAAAGCAGAGCCAAGGTTGGAAATCACTATCCCAGGTTCATGTCTACAGGGTCAACCACCAGCCTTTCTTACCAGTGGCCACCCGCTAGGACAAAATACCTTAGAGATCCGAGTGCAAGTCTGTGAGACTTGGACATGGGACCTAGCCACCTAGGCACATATAGAAAACAGAAGCAGATTCCTGCCACAAGCTGTAGCCAGTGTGACCCTGACCCTGAGTGGTTTGAGAAGTGGCCGTGCAGCTGTGTAGGCGGGGGTGGAGGGGGGTGGGGAGGAGGAAGGAGAGGTTGAGATGTGGCTGGCAGAGGGGATTGTGGGTGCTAGCAGAGTGTTCCCCACCAAAGCTGCTGAACGGTGGATTCTGGGAGGCGGAGGGGCTCAGGTTAAGCGTATCATGGCTTTTCTAGGGAGCTGCAGACCATGGCTGATCAGGAAACTGTCTCCCCTGCTGCTATAAAGAAGACTGTACTGGACAAGGTGAAGCTGGACTCCTCTGCTGGGGCCTCTCTGTCTTCTGGCCACGTTAAGCCGCTGCCCTGAAACCTGGTCCCAGCAGGCAAGGAATGATTCATCTGCCAGCCTTCCTCCTGTTCCCTACTTCCTTTCTTTTCTTCTCCTTTCCTTTTCTCTCCCTTTCTTTTAAAGCAGGGTTTTGCAGTGTAGTCCAGGTTAGCTCTGAACTCTTCATCCCTCACTCTAGTCTCCCAAGTGCTAGAATTATGGATGAAAGTTACTATAGTATGCCAGACTCCTTTTTTCTTGTAAGATAGTGACTTGATGTTGCCCAGACAAGACTTGAACTTACGGGCTCAGGGCATACTCTGATTTCAATTCCATTAAGTATACAACACCTGAGTGACTCAGTTCTTCTCTTCTTACTTGAAGCTTCTCCAACAACACAGAATATCCCCACAGCAGGCCCTTACCCACAGCCAGGTCAGCCAGGAAGGGGACATCACTTACAACTGGGGACCTCCATTGATACTCAAGTGCCAGCTCAAAGCTGGGTGGGTTCTCAGACCTCCCCCTCTTCAGCTTCCTCTGGAGCTCAGGCCTGTGGTCTTTATTCTCCTTAGTTTCAGGGTCAGCTTGCCAGGCTTAGCCATGGCCCCTTCCTGTGATCCACTCACAGGGTTCCTTTCTGTGACGACCAGCTAGTCCCACACATCCTGTACCTCCTTCTGGGTACTTAATGCTTTACCAATGATCCCACTAGGCATTTGGGAAAAGAACTTCTCAGGTAGCTGATGAGACTCTTGTATGTTCCTCAACTCAGCAAATACTGCTACTTTTCTTCCTATCCTTTCAGTTGAATAATAAAAAAATTTCCCAAAAGCTCCAATTTACCTATTTGTCACCTATGGAGAGAGGCCTGCCTGTACACTGAGGGAGGAGACAGTAACAAGGGTCCTATAAAGCTGGCTGCAGCCAGGCTGAAGGTCCCCTGGGTAACAGAGGGCTTACAGAGCCTCTGTGTCTATGCCATAGCCTGAAGACTGGCACTGTAGGCAGGCCTTGGCACACAGATATGGTGGGGTCACCTCTTTAGTACCTATCCCTGTAGCTTGCCAAGGGGAGACGTGTTGCTGGCTGATCTAGGCTGTGTAGGGCCAAGTTCCTGGTGAGGAGGAAACCTTTTGAGGGAAGTGTTGGAATTTTCCAGACTGACAGATTCAAGGGCCATGACACAGGGAAATTCTGTCTTGAAAAAAAGAAAGAAAAAGGCATGTGCCATCACTACCCAGCCTGTTTGTTAATTTTTTGTTGTTGGTTTTGAGACAAGATTTCCCTGTGCCCTGGCTGTTCTAGAAGTTGCTCTGTAGGACTAGGCTGGCTTTGGACTCATAGAGATACCCTTGCCTCTGTCTCCTGAGTGCTGGGATTAAAGGAGGTATATGCCATCATACCCAGCATATCTGTTATTTTAAAAATATTTTTAAATTAGGTGGTGGTGGTGTATGTCTCTAATCCCAACACTCAGGAGGCAGAGGCAGGTGGATCTCTGTGAGTTCAAGGACAGTCTGGTCTACAGAGCAAGTTTCAGGACAGCCAGGGCTACACAGAGAAACCTTGTCTTGAAAAACGAAAAATAAAAAATAAAATTAAAATTAAAAAAGTTAAACTGTGTTCGTGTGTGAATGTTTGTTCATATGTGTGAGTGTACCATGTGCTCTCAGAGGCCAGAAAAGGCATTGAATTCCCTGGAACTGGAGTTAGAGATAGTTGTAAACTCCATGTGGGTTCTAGGAACTAAGCTCAGGTCCCCTTAAGGATGAAGGCTGCAGCCAACTATCCTATCCTCTGGAAATTGTAGAGGAGGACATTCCAGAAGATGACTCAGGGCTTCTCCTAACTGCTGAGCCATCTCTCTAGTTCTGTAATGCTGTTATTCTTGACATTAAAGTCGACTAATTCATACACACACACACACACACACACACACACACAATTCCCCTCCCCCAACCGAGACAGGGTTTCTCTGTGTACCCCTGGCTGTCCTGAAACTCTGTCGGTAGACCAGGCTGGTCTCGAACTCAGAGACTGGCCTGCCTCTACATCCTGGCCACTGGAATTAAAGGATAAAAGGTGTACGCCACTATGCCTAACCACAAGTCTACTTTTGCTCTGTTTGCTTGTTTGCCCAGTAATTCAAATACTAATCCTGTACAAAGATATTTAGAATGTCTAGGTACCCTCATTGTAGTATAGTCAAGGCGACACACACAGTCAACCTTCATATACCAGCTTTATAGCAGCAACAGGCCTTACAGAGGCCACGAATGCTCATGTTTCTTCATTTAGAAGTCACTCAGCATGGAGACAGAAGGTGAAGGCCCCACCTCAAAAGGTGATATAACAAGCTGCCTTAATTAAGAATTTCTATTGCTTTGATGCAACACCATGACCAAAAAGCAAGCAGGGGAGGAGAGGGGCTTATTTGGTTTACTCTTCCACATTGCTGCTCATCACTGAAGGAAGTCAGGACAGGAACTCAGACAGGGCAAGATCCTGGAGGCAGGAGATGATACAGAGGCCATGGAGGGCTGCTTACTGGCTTGGTTCCCAAGACTTGCTTAGTCTGCTTTCTTCAAGAACTCAGCACCAGGATGGGAACCCCTCACAATGGGATGAGCTCTCCAACAGTAACTAATGTAAGAAAATGCCTTCCAGCTGGATTATTTTTAATAAGTTTTTTTTGTTTTTCTTTCTTAGAATTTATTTACTTTTATCTTATGTGCATTGGTGTTTTACATGTATGTATGTGTATGTGAGGGTGTCAGATACTGGAGTTACAGTCAGTTGTGAGCTGCCATGTGGGTGGTGGGAATTGAACCTGGGTCCTCTGGAAGAACAGTCAGTGCTCCTTAACCACTGAGCCATCTCTCCAACTCCTTACTACTGCATCTTATGGAGGCATTTTCTCACTCAAGCTTCCTTCTGTTCAGATATCTCTAGTTTGTGAGTCAAAGTGACATTAAATAACTAGCCAGCACACAAACTTCCGGGAGCCTGCGATTTAGTTGAATATGCAGGTGCATGGGCAAAGCAGAGGCCTGTGTAACAGAGCAGGTCAGAGGAAAGAGGTCTGTCTTTCCAGGAGTGTCACAGCAGGATCCTACTCCTCATTTTCCAGTTTTCCCTGAACAGTTCAGAACCAAGGATGGCCGAGACAGTTATGAGGGTCAGAAGACAGAATCCATCAGTGCTAAGAAACAGTGCTGGAGGCATGGGGACCAGGAAGCTTGAGTCAGTGCCCAGGAGCGGGTTGTACTGATGCTGTGTGGCAGATGTGTTCCCCGGAAACTTCTTCAAGTGCCACTCAGCAAAAAGAGCCTTGCTTGAGAGACTCTTGCAATGAGCTTTTATGTTCCCCGAGATCCAGGTCCTTCTTCTTCACTATACCCAGAGACAACCATCCCGAACCTGTCTGGAGAGCCAGGAGAGGGTTCTTGACTAGTCTTATATGGTGAGGCATGTTTGCCTTTCACCAATGATCCACACATGCTCCGAGGGCTTGTTTCAGTATGGACTCCACTTTCCTTCGGCATTCCCTCCATGACTATTATCAGTCTGCTCTATAGCTGTAGGGCTTTATCTATCCCGAGGAAGGCTATGGAGCCGAGCCACCTCCTGGAATGACCCAGAATAACAACTAACATCAGCTTCAGTGTTAACTCCAGAGCCCAGGGCTCTCTACTTCAAGGAAGCAACTCCACACCAGAGCCCCATCATCTCCAGGACGGTCCATCTTCTGATTATTTCTTCTAGCCCCTTGTGGCCCTGGGTGTGGGCACTCCCAAACTTTGCTCCAAGTCTAGGTTCCATGAAATGGGGAGTGAGACTCCCCAAAAGTGGAAAACTAAGTAAAGATGATTCTCAAATGAAGTCCCTAATATGTGAAAGGCAGACTCAATGCTGTGAAGACCAGGATGTAAGGCAGATGTAGCTGTCTTTTGCTATTTAGTGGGTTCTTCTTTCTTCCATTCTTTCAACCCCTTAACATTAGGTAAGAGAGGGAAAAGGAAAAAAAAAAAGGATAGAGCAGAAAGGAAAGAGATCCCTGAATAAAGTCAGGGGTTAGAAAGGGGATAACATAATGGTTAGACTACTTCCTTCTGATTAGGGGCATCGAGTTTCTTGGGGCAACTTTGATCTTTGCCATCAGGATATCCAATTTCTTCTTGTTTCTTCTTTGCCCACAGCTACTTAACCAACCGAGACCAACGACAATCAACCAACCAACAACCCACCTATTGGGGGCCCTAGCATTTACATACCCTCTTAAAAGTCCCCAGAATTCCAAACATCACACAATCACAGAAACTATCTGTAGTTGGCAAAATCATACCCCTCTAGAGCATGAGGCAAATCAGTCAGCTGCTGCGGGCAATCTGAAGCAACCCTATATCCCACACCCAGGATTAAACATGAAAACACATTCCCATAATGTTTCTGGGGTTTTCTTTTTCTTTTTTCATTTTCTTTTATTTATTTTTTTTATTTTTCAAGACAGGGTTTCTCTGTGTAGCTCTGGCTGTCCTGGAACTCACTCTGTAGACCAGGCTGGCCTCGAACTCAGAAATCCGCCTGTCTCTGCCTCCCAAGTGCTGGGATTAAAGGCATGCACCACCACAGCCTGTCGTTTCTGTGGTTTTCAAAGATGCCAAACTGTCACTGTCACTACAGGGAGAGATGGAACATCAGTGGGAATCAGCCTAGCAATGGCTATCCTTTAGTAGCCACTCCGTGACCCACAGCTGGTACTTCCTGATGATACTTCAGCAGGTGGCAGGGACAAGGAACAGCATGTAAAAGGACAAGCCCTGATGTGACTCTGAATGTCCTGCCAGGTCACCCCAGCTGCTGCTGCCTCCATACCCAGTGCTATACTCACCCTTCCAGTCCCTCTTCGCAAGAAGTGGCTCGGGGTCCTCCTTTGAACCAGCACTGAGTGATAAAGATACAGAACACACGGATGCACCAGGCCTCTGACCTAGTATCTGCTGGTGTGTGTGTGTGTGTGTGTTGAGGGTTAGGCTGTGGTCTAGTGATTGAGCATTTGCCTAACATGTGTAATATCCTGAGTTAGATCCCTAACACTAGGGAGGGGAGGTTTGGGGGCTTGCTAATCACAATGCATGCCTAGAGTCCCAGTTAACTTTTTTTCCCCCCTCCCTCTTTGTTTTCTTGAGACAGGGTTTCTCTGTGTAGCCATGGCTGTCCTGGAACTGGCTTTTATAGACCATGTTGGTCTTGAACTCAGAGACCCACCTGCCTCTGCATTCTGAGGACTGGGATTAAAGGCCTGAGCTAACATGTCCAGTAAGTCCCTGTTACTCCTGACTGCAAGTCTTTGCAGCTACTCTGGGGAATATAAAAAATAACACGGAAAGCATCGGAGCTTATGGCTGTAGTCCCAGCATTTGGGAGGCCGAAGCAGGAGGGTTGCTACTGAGCTTACGCCAGCCTACAGAGCCTACAAAGACCCCATCTTACAACTAGAACAAAGGCAGGTTGGATGAAGATAAGTAAAAGAAACACAGAGGGCATGTCTCAGGGGTTTTTATTGCTATGAAGAGACACCATGACTCAGCAACTCTTCTAAAGGAAAGCATCTCATTGGGTCTGGCTTACACTTTTCAGAGGTTTTAGTCCATTGTTGTCATGGAGAAAAGCATGGTAGCATGCGTGCAGACATGGTGCTGGAAGAGGAGCTTAGAGTTCTACATTCTGATCCGAAGGCTGCAGGAAACCATAAGCCACACACTGGGCATAGCTTGAGTCTATGAGATCTCAAAGCCTGTCCCCACAGAGACACACTTCTTTTAACAAGG